CTCAGAGATTGTTTGAAACAAACATAAAAATAAATTAAAGACTAGTATTGAAACGAGTTTTGGTTTTGGCGAAACATAAGTACTCTACACACAGAGTCATTAAGTGTACTCTATAAAGAGTTTTGAAGTGGTGTCTAGATCATTAGTCCATATGCCAACAGTTAATACGAAAAACATTTTTAATTTTCTGAGATTGTTTGAAACAACCATAAAAATAAGTTGAAAGCTAGTATTGAAACGAGTTCAGGCTTTGGCGAAACGTAAGTACTCTACATACAGAATCATTATGTATATTTTATAAAGAGTTTGGAAGTGGTGTCTAGATCATTAGTTCATATGCCAACTGTGTCCTAACCCAAGTTAATCGGGTCTTAGAAACTGTAAGATCTGTCAATGATCAGATAAATATAAAATGTGATTTTATTCGGATGATATATTTTTTAGCTGGTTCAACATCCATTGCACTGCTTTGAGTTATTTAGAATATACATCGCCTTACTTTGTGTATAGGGTATTTAAACTAACTTAATTTAATTTAGTTTAAATTCACGCTTTAATAAAATAAAATAAATATATCGTATAGTTCATCGACAGCTGCTCAGCTGTGCGTTGTGTTGTCCGAAATTAAAAGAGGGGCCGGCCGGTTGCGTCTTCAACATATGAGAAATGCTCTTATACCTAATAAAATCTCAAATCTCATATGTAAAAAGAGAGGCAAATAATAGAGTAAAACTAAACAAAGAATTTTTGAACACAAATTACTAAAAGTGTTTGGAATGACTTGCAGAAATCAAAAAGTCAGCATGAAAATCCAAAAATATGGATCGCTTATATGTGCTTATCATTCAACATTGTTAAAAATTATAAAAACTGCTGAGTAGAAATTATTTGTTCAGTCTAAAATTTTTATTTACGAATGCAGACGGCCTACGACAATGCGGAGTCTAAAATTGTTAAGTAGTTTCATGCGGAAAGAGAGGAACGCAGTGAACTTGTTTCGGAACTTAATTAATCGAGTATGTTTTTATTAATTAATTAATTCATTTCATAGATATTAAATAGGTCAATGGCAAATTTGTTATTAATAAACACTGTTTTATTTGGTTTTTTTTATTTTATATTTTGTTTCTTTGTTTTGTTATTAAATATATAGTAATATTCCACATAAACAATTAATATATATTTTTCATTTACTTTTAGAACTACTGCGTGGCGGCGGCAAATACTTTATCATGGGAGCATGCCAAACCATTGAAGAGCATACCAAGAGTAGGTGCTTATGACTTCATGATTGGCAGCTTACCCGGTGGTAAATTTCGTAATAAAGATATCGATGACGTAGTGCGTTTGCTACATGAAGAGAAAGGTGATATATTTATATGGAAAGGTATTCTCGGTCAGAGCGATATGATCTTTACACAGACACCAGCTGATTTTGAAAATGTTTTTCGCCATGATGGCATCTGGCCACAAAGAAACTTTTTGGAAACAGCAGTATATCATCGAAAAAAGCATAGAGAAGATTTTTTCGGTGGCAATGGAGGCTTATTTGCTAAGTAATTAATAAAATAGAATAAAATAAAATAAAGTTGTATATTATTAATATATATAACATTAATAATATTTTTTAGTGATGGAAAAGATTGGGGTGATCTACGTTCATTAATTAATCCAATTTTAGTGCATCCAAAAAATATAAAAATATATTTGTCATCTTTGAGTAAAATTAATCAGGAATTTATTGATAGGTATACTGAGAAATGATATCACATTTTTAAAAAGTATTTAGCTTACAGAACTTTATTCTAGAATTCGAAAAATACGTAATTCTGAAACTCTGGAGGTACCAGCTGACTTTTCGAATGAAATTAAACGTTGGACGTTGGAATCAATTGGCATGGTTGCTTTGGATAAGCAACTAGGTTTAATTAACGGACATAATCCTGAAGCTATTGCATTTTTTAACAGTATAGAGAGATATTTTATACTTGTTCTAGATTTGGAGTTCAAACCGTCTCTCTGGCGTTATGTACCCAACAAGAAGTTTAATGAAGCTATGCAAATATTGGATAATATTATTACTTTTACTACAAAATATGTAGATGAAGCAATAGAAAGATTCGAAAAATCTCCCACCGATAAACCTGAAATAGAAAAAAGTGTTTTGGAAAAATTATTAAAAATTGACAAAAAAATTGCTACCATTACGGCTATGGAAATGTTCATAGGTGGCGTGGATACGGTTTGTTTTACAAAAAAATTATATTAATTGATTTTATAAATAACTTATATTACAGACATCATCCACTCTACAAGGAGTTTTGTTGTGTTTGGCAAAAAATCCAGAAAAACAAAAGAAATTACGTGAAGAAATTCTATCGATCCTACCTGAAAAAAATTCAGAGCTGACTGTGGAAAATATGAAGAATTTACCTTATTTGCGTGCTTGTATTAAAGAAAGTTTACGACTTCACCCTTTGACATTTGCAAATTTACGTCAATCTAGTGTAGACCTAGTACTTAGTGGCTATCAAGTACCGAAAGGTTCTAATATTAATATGGTATCCCTTAACTTGCTGAGAGATGCAAATTACTACTCACAGCCCAATGAATTCATACCGGAGCGTTGGTTAAGAAACGAGAATAAAGACAATACCTGCCCACATAATTCCGCTACTAAGAGCAATAATCCATTTATTTATTTACCATTTGGTTTTGGACCACGCAGTTGCATTGGTAGACGCGTAGCTGAAATGGAACTGGAAATTGCAATTGCACGCCTGGTACGAAATTTTGGAATAGAGTTTAATTATTCAACAGAAAAGCCGTTTAAGTGTTTGCAAGTTTATGTTCCAGCAATTCCAATGAAATTTAAATTTACCGACTTGGAGTATTAAATTTAATAACTCCATATTTTCGTATTATTATGGTATTGTAATTTAGTTCTTTATATTTAAAAATTTTTATTTATTATTATATTAAAAAATTTTAATAAATTTGTTATTTAAAAAAATATTCATTCTATATATACATATATATAAATAAATAAATATTCCATATATAAAATTATATATAGAGTTTTAAATATGAATTGTATAATTTTTAGTTAAGAATTTTTTTTTATTAAAATAGATGTGTATAAATTTCATAAAATATGTCCTAATATATAGCTATCTCAACGTATATACCATATGCTACAAAAGCCTAAAATATCGTAAACACAGTGACTCTACAATTAAAAATTAAAAACAAATTATATTGCTCCAATGTTTATCAATACCGTATCAAAAACGTCTGTAGACACCTGTTTATGTAGTATATTCAGATTTGATAAGATATCTAATAATTACCTGATGAAATATAGTTTATTTATTGCGTGTTCCCCAATTGATAGTTTGACCTTATGTGCTTAATTGGTTGTCAATGGTATATTGATATGATTAAAATCCTATATTTGAACGATTTTAATAGAATTACAATTAATAATGTAGTCAGAATATGTAGGTATATATTTATATGAATTTTAAATATTTATTTTTAAAAGAAATAACTTTATATTATAACAAGACTTTGGCGTAAGAAGTGCTAGAACATATTGATCATATACTTGGTCGTATTAGCATATACCCGAAATATGGCAAATCATTTCATTCATCTTTGTTCTATTTTGACGTTATATTATATTATATATGGAACATCTGATTTTTGTATTAGGTAGTACAGTAACCATATATTAAAAAATACAAAAAGTACTTACCATATACAATGTTAAATGAACGAACTTCCAAAGAGTTTATAACAAGAAAATAACCGGCCACTATACTCAACAAATGGCAAGAGAAGATCAGAAGCAAACCATCGAAATATGGCAACAAAGATGGAATAATAGCATTAGGGGAAGATGGACTGCTAGAGTGATACCAAATATAATCACAGAAATCTGAAGACACAAATTACAATCTCACTCAGATGCTGACCGAGCATGGATACTTTTGTAAGTATCTATAGAGCATTTATGGTGACGGAGACTGTGACGACGCAGAGCTGGACCAATAAATCCCGAAAATATAGTGGAAAACATGAAAGCAAACCTAGAGAGCTGACAAACGATAGAGTTATATGTAATTCAAGTTTTTAAAACGATGAAATTAGATCTAGAAAGGAGAACCACAATGTAGAATAATAAAAAGTGCAGACACCAAGAAAATGCTTTGAGCAGATTTATAATCGCAAGAGCATAGGTTGAAATGCCAACATAAAAGAAACCCTTCTGGAAGTAATGGAAAAGCGGTTCCGAGCGGTTTTTTTCAAATTTTTTTTTTATTATGTATTCCTATCGATTTATAATATCGCTAAAGTTTTAAGATAATGTAATGATAATTTTTTTTTACATGCAGTTTGGTATTACAATAATATATTTTAAATTAATAAAAAATAATTTTATAGGTCTGTTTAACAATGTAACTCCAAAGTAATTGATAAAAGACAGTATCAGTACAGTATTATTAAAAATTAAAATAAATGTTAGTCAGTGTAAAGTTGATACTAAAGTCTGCAGAATATAATTTTCTGGCGAATAAGCTATTTTGTTTATTTAGATAAAATACTACATATTTCGTACAAACTTAAGACTTCTGCTATTGTCCTCGTAACTCACGTTTTAAACTAGAAAATGGCAATTGTAAGCAACGCAAATTTCAAATATTTTAATTAAAAGATAAATAAATGTATCAGTATCTTTTCACCACAAATAACTATGAAATAATTTAACTTTGAAGGAAAGAACAAATGAAAGCACTTCACAGGCAGTTTTCTTGAAGTCTTTCGGAAGAGCTGTAAGAAATGTACGTGTGATACATATTGTCACGTATTGGCGACAGTAATTTAAAACTGTCAACATCATTATGACCAAATTATGAAGCTCTTACCAAATAAAATTCAAGCAAAAACACAAACAAATAATTGAACGCCTCCAGATACGAGTACTCGTATATAGCTAACCTACAGCCAAAGGCATACTGTTCGGGACACAAGATATTATTTTAATTTATAGCGAATTTGCCAACCATAATGAAGTGTCTTCCATTAAGATTAATTACAGCACTGAGCTGCTCGTATGGCAGCGCGACAGTGTTGCAGAGAGCCGACCTACGCCCCTTTATGGCAACCCAAGTCAAGTGGATTTTGGCTTGAGTTTATAGTTTTCTTTACACTTTACGTGAAATGGTAGCCATAAATTATTAACAAAACTAAAGATAGAAATTAAACGCATCCATGTTTATCCTAAAGTGTCGGTTCTTATCAATGGCCCACAAAATTATACTTCTCAAGTTAATTTACATACATCATTTGGATTATTTTGCTTTGATCCAATTAGCTTCAAATTTCTATTTGTGTCATAAATTTTATTAAATTTTATCCATAAAATATTTTAGTTTGGTTTTTTTTTAAATTTATGAAATTAATTAAATGATTTTAATCTGATTGCCTTGAAGTGGGACAGTTTCTTCGGTTTAGTTAAGGAGAGAAGCATCTAAATCATTTTAGGTAAAAAAACATGTGTAAATAACTTTTAGGGTGGCTTTACATTCGAGTCTTTGGGGAATGGTAAACGGATATGCTTTTTATATTTCTGGATTGCATATAATTTATAGTTTAAGATTTTTGTATATAAGGGTGTATGGTATTAAAGTTTAATAGTAATTTTATAAAGTTATTCTTGAGAAAAATATTTGAAAGGAGATGGCGAGCATATCTTATATACTCATAAATGAAATAAATAATCTTCGTACTCTTATTAAAAACGTTGACTAATAGTAATTGATTTCACTAAAACATTAGATTCCAGTCATTTTTACCGATATTTGGGCATATCGAAAAAAATATATTACTACAGGCACATTGACAGATGATCAGAGAGTTAGATAAATTGAAATATAGAAACACAACTAGACAAATAACTTGGAAAAGCTATTGATGTTACCGGACTGACTAAGTATGAATAGTTTATATGATCAGCTTTAAAAAGACTTTTTAAGGTATTATAGTACATTAGGACAAATGACATCCTTAGCGACCTCAATTTTGATCCTATCAAAAATATGTAAAAGATGGAGATCTGAAATTATTTACGAAAACTGACAGGCAACACCGCGTTATCGAATCTTAGAATGTTTACAGGCTACTCGGGGAAGTATGCAGATCTCTGGTCAGTTATTGCTTAGTCTGATAAAGTGATAAACAATAATCCAGTTAAGGCGTAGAGAGAGTTTTTGAAGAAACCTCGCAGTTAATAGAGAGTAAAAGCGCTCAAGTGCACTGACTCAACTAGCCTCAACATAATAATAATAATCAATGCATTACTATTATAATAAAATTCATAATAGTTTGGACTATTTCACTGACTATTTCACTTAATAGAAACTACTGTATATGATAGAGAGGTTTCGAATAGTACTGAATTGCAACAACAAAAATTCTTTGTTACTTTTAATAAATTTTATTTTTTTTCATAGTTCGTTTCTTCATTCCTTTCATTCCTTGAGTTGTGCTATTATTCTTTTTAGCTTATTAGATTCTGCTATACTAGATGCAGCTTTAGGATTTATTTTATGAATTTTTTTCGACACTGATGGAGCACCCATTGCTAATGGTGGTTTTGGGTTAGACACATCTTGTTCCTCGTTAAAAGATAAGGAATGATTTTCTTGTTCATTTTTCCTCGCCGATAAAAGCTTCGCTAAGCATTGGTCCCTATCATGCTTTGATCTTAATTTTTTCATCCTTAGGCTAAGTTTAGTACACAACGGTTTATTCTGATCAAAAGATTGATTTGGTGAAGAGCTAGTTTCACTACGACTTCTAGCTGATTTGTTACCAATAGGAAAACAGTGACTATCTTGTTTTGTAACTTTTGAAAATACAGGAACACACTTACCGCACTTACTACATCTTCCAATGAAACCCGAATGATGTAATCTTTGGCCAAAACGATTGGTGATTTCAGTTGAAATAAAACTGGTACATCTTGTAGTTTCATCGTTAGCATTTTTAGTCAATTGGCAAATTTTTTTTAACATACTATCATTTGCTAAGTCAGTCTGTTTATTACACCCACAAAACATCTCTTCAACGGCTAAATGTGTTGAGTTGGCGGCAAAACAATTAATCTTCTCTGATTCGAGATACTTAGATAAGCGAGAATTTGCAAATCTACTTGAGCATGGATTATAAAAATTTTCACAATCTCCATTCAATGTTCGTCTAAAAGGTTTAAGGTGAACTTGACACGATCGTGAATCACTAAGTAACTGATGATGTTGTGTTCTTTCACTATTCTTTATTGAATCAGAAATTGTTTGTGGTTTATTCGTATTTATACCAACTGATTCTTCAGATGTTTCTATAAATTTGTCATCGAAAGGTTTTTTCGGAGGAGCAAAGGTATGTATCGCTTTTTGTTTGAGTTCATTGATAATCGCTGGTAGGGGACTTTTTATATGGGGTTCACTGCTTAATTGTTTTGCTTTATCCCATATATTCTTGGCACCGTCAACATAACTTGTTCGCAGCTCAGAGTTCGAAAGGAAGTTAACGACTAAATTAAAAATGTTCATTCTAAATGTGAAAAATTGAACTTAAAATTTTGAATTTTGCAGAATTAAAAAATATAGAGAATAATTTTTATCTCTCTTAAACTTGAAAAATATATTATGAAATTCTACAAACATTATTTTTTAAGAAAACAATTTAAATATTCTTATGCTTACTATGATTTAAAAATATAATTCTATAGAATAATGGAATGAAAATTCTATGAAAAATTCGATCATCTAAAGACTATAAATGATCATTTAAAACTGCTAAATGAGCAAATAAATTATAATTTAGCCCCTTAATGATAATTTAGTTCCCGTCTGTCA